CTAATATGAGATTGACTCATTACATGCAAAGCAAGATAGTTCAAGCCGTGATTGTGATGATTATGGCTTACAGCTCATGAAAACCCCAAATCCACAATCTCAGAAAATTAGAATATTACATGCAATCAATAAAACAAGGATTGTACATAGAACAATATCGGACCTCTGAAAAGTATAAGCATGCATATGTACTCAGTACTTGGTTTGGGCCCCTTTTGCAGCAATTACTGCCTCAATGCGGCGTGGCATGGAAGCTATCAGCCTGTGGCACTGCTGAGGTGTTATGGAAGACCAGGATGCTTCAATAGCGGCCTTCAGCTCTTCTGGATTGTTCGGACTCATGTCTCTCATCTTTCTCTTGGCAATGCCCCACAGATTCTCTATGGGGTTCAGGTCAGGCGAGTTTGCTGGCCAATCAAGCACAGTAATGCCACGATCATTGAACCAGGTTTTGGCAGTGTGGGCAGGTGCCAAGTCCTGCTGGAAAATGAAGTCAGCATCCCCATAAAGCTCGTCTGCTGAAGGAAGCATGAAGTGCTCCAAAATCTCCGGGTAGACGGCTGCGTTGACGCTGGACTTAATGAAGCACAGTGGACCAACACCAGCAGATGACATGGCTCCCCAAATCAACACAGACTGAGGAAACTTCACACTGGACTTCAAACATCTTGCAGTGTGTGCCTCTCCATTCTTCCTCCATACTCTGGGTCCTTGGCTTCCAAATGAGATGCAAAAGTTGCTCTCATCAGAAAAGAGGACTTTGGACCACTGAGCAACAGACCAGGTCTGTTTTTCTTTAGCCCAGGTAAGACGCTTCTGACGTTGTTTGTTGTTCAGGAGTGGCTTGACAAGAGGAATACTACGTTTGAAACCCATGTCCAGGATCCGTCTGTGTGTGGTGGCTCTTGATGCACTGACTCCAGCCTCAGTCCACTCCTTGTGAAAGTCCCCAACACTTTTGAATGGCCTTTTCCTGACAATCCTCTCCAGGCTGCAGTCATCCCTGCTGCTTGTGCACCTTTTTTTCCACACTTTTCCCTTCCACATAACTTTCTATTAATGTGCTTTGATACAGCACTTTGGGAACATCCAACTTCTTTTGCAATTACCTTTTGAGGCTTTCCCTCCTTATGGAGGGTGTCAATGATGGTTTTCTGCACAACTGTCAGGTCAGCAGTCTTTCCCATGATTGTGATTCCTACTGAACCAGACTGAGAGACCATTTAAAGGCTCAGGAACCCTTTGCAGGTGTTATGGCTTAATTGCTGATTAGAGTTAGATTGGGACACTTTGAGCCTAGAATATTGCACCTTTTCACAATATTCTAATTTTCTGAGATTGTGGATTTGGGGTTTTCATGAGCTGTAAGCCATAATCATCACAATTATGACAAATCACGGCTTGAACTATCTTGCTTTGCATGTAATGAGTCTATCTCATATATTAGTTTCATCTTTTAAGTTGCATTACTGAAATAAATGAACTTTTGCACGATATTCTAATTTTTCGAGTTTCACGTGTATATATTGCCAAAAATATTGGTACACCCCTCCAAATAATTGGATTCAGGTGTTCCAATCACCTCCATGGCCACAGATGGATAAAATCAAGTACCTAGACATGCAAAGTGCTTCTACAAACAGTTGGGAAAGAATGGGTTGCGCTTTTAGGAGGTCAATGAATCAAGTGTGGTACCATGATAGGTTGTCACCTTTGCAGTAAGTCCATCTGTGAAATTTCCTTGCTACTCATTATTCCACGATCACTGTTAGTGGTAGTATAACAAAGTGGAAGCAACTGGGAACAGTAACTCAGCCACAAAGTGATAGGCCATGTAAAATGACAGCCGGATCAGCGCATGCAGAAGTCGCCAACTGCTGACTCAATAGCTAAAGAACTCCAAACTGTGTGTGGCCTTCAGATTAGCACAACAGTGTGTAGAGAGCTTCATGGAATGGGTTTCCATGGCCCAGCAGCAGCATCCAAGCCTTACATCACCAAGTGCAATGCAAAGCGTCGGATGCAATGGTGTATAGCACGCCGCCACTGGACTCTATAGCAGTGGAGACGTGTTCTCTGGAGTGACAAAATTATGCTTCTCTTGACTAGTTGAGACCTGACCTCAACCCGATTGAACATCTTTTGAGGTGAATTAAGGCGGAGACATCAGTGCCTGACCTAACAAATGTGCTTCTGGAAGAATGGTCACACATTCCCATAGACACCCTCCTAGACCTTGTGGACAGCCTTCCGAGAAGAGTTGAAGCTGTCATAGCTGCAATGGGTGGGCCAACTCATTATTGAACCTTACGGACTAAGACTTGGGATGCCATTAAAGTTCATGTGCGTGTAATGCTTTTGGCAGTATAGTGTATATATGGCAAATGCTTTTCCAAATTGCTCATTATATAAAAAGTTATTACATTTAAAAAATGATCTAATCCTAATACCAATAAAAATTTAATAAAATGTTTTTTTTCGATTGTCTGTCTTGCATATTTTGCCCTTCTACATTTATCTCACCAACACTTAACCTACCTTGTGCCTTAATCCTTGAGTTTATATAAGTGGTGATAGTTGACCCATAACGATCAAAACAAGGGCAAGCAGGACAACATCATGTGAAGCTCCAGGCAAATTATTTTTCTATGCCACTTAAGCTTCTGATTGGTACATGTATACATTTTGTTATTCTATATCTTTTGATGTATGATGCAAAGCCTCTGCGCGGGCATGATACTTTTTATACCCTGACAGATCTTGAACTACTGTGTATCTATCTCTGCTTTTATTGTGTCTGTAACTTTCTGTTGCAATAAAAATTGTCTATTGTGTATTTTAGTGTTTATTAATATTTTTTGTTCTTTAACCACTTCCCGTCCGCCCTATAGCAGAAGTACTGCTACAGGGTGGCACGGTGTGCAAAAGCATGTGTGTGGATGTATATACAGTTGTGTCCAAAATTATTCAACCCCCAATGCTGTAAAGGGGTTTAGGGACTATAGTGTACATTTGGAATTGTATTCAGAATCAAATCCTACAAGGACGTTGTAACTACCCAAATGCAACTAAAATGACATCAATTGTTTATGTAATACAGTAGTAAATGGTTCTTATGTGGTTTCTTCATTGCCACAATTATTCAACCCCTTAAAGACTACCACTCTGAAGAACAGAGGTTCATACAGGTGCTTTCCATCAGTATTGAAAACACCTGTGGATGTCACCGAGCAGCAATCAAGCATAATAAGCACCAATTAGGCAGCTTTAAAATGACTGTGATACTCAGCTCCTTCTAGACATTTACTGGTGTGGTTACAAACATGGTGAAGGCAAGAGAATGGTCCAGGAAGACAAGAGAAGAGGTGATTTCTCTTCACAGGAAGGGCAATGGCTATAAGAAGATTGCAAAGATGTTAAACATACCAAGAGACACCTTAGGGAAGCATCATTCGCAAATTCAAGGCAAAGGGCACTGTTGAAACGCTACCTGGTCGTGGCAGAAAGAAGATGCTGACTTCGACTGCTGTGCGCTACCTGAAGCGTAGAGTGGAGAGAAGTCCCCGTGTGACTGCTGAGGAACTGAGAAAAGATTTGTCAGATGTGGGTACAGAAGTTTCAGCCCAGACAATAAGACGCACACTGCGTAATGAAGGCCTCCGTGCCAGAACTCCCAGGCGTACCCCCTTGCTGTCTCCAAAGAATAAGAAGAGTCGACTGCAGTATGCCAAAAGCCATGTGGACAAACCACAAAAGTTGGGGGATAGTGTTCTGTGGACTGATGAAACAAAATTAGTAAACTGTTTGGGCCCATGGATCAACGCTATGTTTGGAGGAGGAAGAACAAGGCCTATGATGAAAAGAACACCTTGCCTACTGTGAAGCATGGTGGAGGGTCAATCATGCTTTGGGGGCTGTTTTGCTTCTGCAGGTACAGGGAAGCTTCAGCGTGTGCAAGGTACCATGAATTCTCTTCAGTACCAGGAGATATTGGATGGAAACGTGATGCAGTCCGTCACACACACACCTGAGGCTTGGGAGACGTTGGACCTTTCAACAGGACAATGATCCCAAGCATACCTCCAAGTCCACTAGAGCATGGTTGCAGAGGAAAGGCTGGAACATTTGGAGTGGCCATCGCAGTCACCAGACTTAAATCCGATTGAGAACCTCTGGTTTAAAGAAAGCAGTTGCAGTGCGCAAGCCTAAGAATGTGACTGAACTGGAGGCCTTTGCCCATGAAGAATGGGCGAAGATACCCGTAGATCGCTGCAAGACACTTGTGTCAAGCTATGCTTCACGTTTAAAAGCTGTTATAACTGTAAAAGGATGCTGTACTAAGTACTAAGATTGGAATGTCACTTGGGGGTTGAATAAAACTGATAATGCTGTGAGCACAGAAAAGACATTTGTGGTTATTTCATTATAACTGTTATGTTATATTTGTCTGACCTACAAGTGCCTCTTTAATGTAAATGTAAGCAAGATGACTGAATGATCAAAAGCAATGTCAAACTGGCCAAAACACTCAATTTCAGTGGGGGGTTGAATAATTTTGGACACAACTGTATGTATATATACAGTTGACTTACCAACTGAAGATTGCCAAAGGAGTCATTCTATAGATCCCCTAGATGATGGAGATGTGAAGAGGTCCTGATGGTGGTTACATGTCTGGTTTTTTTTCATACTTTTTGGGTATTTTTATTGGATTTTTGTTAATAAAGTGGTGATAAAGGTATTGCACAAGGATGGTGCGCTCTTTTTTTGTTATTTTAGAACAGTAGCTGGAGAATAGCTTATTCTTTCAAGTTTCTTGGGCAGGTACTTCATTTCAAGACAAATTACCTTTAAATATCTATCATATAAAATACAGAATAGAAGTTTAAAAAACTGAGGACGGGGATAAGGTTGACGTTGTCCACGATAGCCAGTCAGGTGCCTGAATCTGAATTTTTTTCATGTGTTTGTTCTTGTGTCTCACTTCCTCCCCTCCACAGGTTCTGGAAAGTGTAATACATATAATTATGGGGTCCGAGCTGTGGTTCAGTGTATTCCAGCCTGGCTGCGTTTCATCCAGTGCCTGCGACGATACAGAGATACTAAAAGAGCCTTTCCTCACCTGGTGAATGCTGGCAAATACTCCACTACTTTCTTCATGGTCACCTTTGCTGCTCTCTCTACCAAACCCACAAAGGTAGAAATCATGTGTGTGTATGTGTATATTATCCCCAGATCTGTGACATCCTTGTAACTGAATAGCTGTGAAATCCCAATATTGTTGATGTGCGATTCATTACATTTACACAGCTTGTCTCCATGATGGATAAGCCTTTGGCCCTCCTCATTTCCAATGGAAGCAGCTTTTCCTCAGTAAGACCCCTTCCTCACTGCACTGCTGTGATTTCTCTTAACAGCATAGGTGCAGCACAGTGTACCTGCAGTTTTCGTGTGGGTTACCCACGCTCTCTCCCATAGACTTCTATCAGATTAGATGTTTTTGGTGCATTTTCTGAAAGTGCATCAAAGATGCATCTGCATCTCTCCTCTCCCCTAAAGCCATCCACTGGAGAGGTCATGTGACCAGACCAGAATGCTCTGAGAATAGGTATATGCATCTTCCTTCTACAGGGTAGTTAGAAGGGGGATGGGAGCAGTTTTAGGCTAAGATAGAGCCAGGTATTCCACTTTAAGCTTGATTACCATGTCAAATTGGTATCTTGCCTAAATATATACAATTGCTTCTTCCACTCTGTGTATAGGTTGCCTGTTCCTTCTTCCTTTGGAAGTTGGACGTCTGTTGATTCACTTTTTAGTTGGCAGTGTATGTATTAAAATGGTTCATGTAGAAAAGGCCTGTACTGAGTAAATGTCTTGTGTTTAGCCATCTTAGAATATAAAGAGGATGCAGTGCTGTCTAATAAGACATAATGGTGGCTCAATTTTGTGTCCATGACCGTTCCCCCTAAATTCTAGGTGTCTTAAAATGCTTTCTGTAAAATCCAAACAGACATGTAGTCAAATATTTATAGTACATTTTGTTTTGTGATGCCCTCTAGTGGCTTATAGCATGCTTAGGAAAAATGTTGTATACAAATAGCTCTTAAAGGAGAAACATAGCCAAAGCTATTTTGGCTATACTTGTGAATCACAGGAGTGCAGCGCGTTCTGCACTCCTGTGATGTGTTTTCAGCTGACATCACTCAGTTGGTCCAGGCTTGGGAAAGATCCTGACTTTACAATCGAGATCCACCAAGATACCTGGACCAGTAGCTGGCTCAGCCTCTCAGCTGCGTTGCTGGGAGACCGAGCCAGCTGATCCCTTCCCAGCCCAGCGCTCCAGTGAGCACTGGAGGGGCAGAGCAGAAAGCCGGTGACTGACCGGCACGGCTCTCTGCTAAAAGTGGAGGAGAGAACTGAGAAATCAATGGTATTTGATCTCCGTTCTCAGTCTTAGAGTCGGCGAGGGACAGATGCCACCTAAGTGAGTATAATTTTTTTTTTTTTTAACTCCAAACTTCTCTTTTTAAACTCAAACTACTTAATCAAATATTCATGTTTACAATTAGTGTTGTAATCTAAGTTTAGTAGAGTCAAGAAGTACAGAGATGAAATGTATTTCTTACAATAAGCATCTAGATTATAGCTGCCTTTTGCCCCTGTCAGTTACTTGTCTCCCACTGAGCAGTGTGATCAGACAGTAGTGAGAGGATATGAGGGGCATTGAGATGTTCATAGGTCTGCAGAAATTGTGCAACTACACCAATTCATATATCTGCACAAATCTGTTTTGGTGTTAAGCAAATAATAAACTTTCATAGATGCTTTTCACTAGTTTCCCCACACATCATCATATAAAAGGGGGTGAAAAAGCTCTACGTTTTAAATTGAACTTTGATTTAGTGCTGGGCCACTCTACTTCAGTCTACAAAATGATATATATTTAAAAATAAAAAACAGGATAATGTTTCTCACTTTCGCATGTTGTCAAATTATCATGCAAAAAATGCCCTAACTCACCCACCCCCATTAAAAAAATAAAAATAAAAGATGCGACATCTCAGGACAGACTACAAAAAAAGTTGTTTGTTTTTTTTTCTTGGGAGCACAGCTGACACATCTTCAAAATGAAAAATCTTTGTGTTTCAATTGGGGCAAAAAAGCTGTGACCCTGAATGCATGTGTGATTACATTAGCATTACTAACATATGAGCCAAAGTAATTGAAATACGTCCCACACATGTATTTTGTCTCACAGCTCAAAATCACTCGGATGCTCAGGTGTTCTTCTACCTGTGGATCATTAGTTATGTCATCAGTTCATTATATACTCTTATCTGGGACTTGAAGATGGACTGGGGGTTGTTTGACAAGAACGCCGGTGAGAATACTTTCCTGCGTGAAGAGATTGTGTATCCACAGAAGGTGAGAGTTCTGTATATTTCTTTTGTTGGTTTTGGCCATTATTCATCTTTGTGTCATTTATTTAACAAACCACCTGTTTTTTTTTATTTTTTTTCCTAATCTAGGCCTATTATTACTGCGCAATCATACAGGATGTCATTCTGCGCTTTGCATGGACCATACAGATTTCTCTTACAACATTAAACCTACATGGCAATATTTCAGATATAATATCTACTGTCCTTGCTCCGCTTGAAGTCTTCCGGTGAGTAATTAACTACTTCAGCTCTGGAAAGTTTTATCCCCTTCATGACCAGATCATGTTTTGCTATTAAGCACTGCACTACTTTCAGTCATGCAATGCTGTACCCAAACAAAATTTATATAATTTCTTTTCACCCAAATAGACTTTTGTTTTCGTGGTGTCTGATCACCACTGGGTTTTTTCATTAGATAAATGAAAACAGACTGGAATAAAAAAAAACAATATTTTTTTCTTTCTACTGTTAAACCTATTCAGTGAAAACATTTTAAAAATCTTAGTTGTTCATAAATGTACGCCAAAATGTATTCTGCTACGTCTTTGGTTAAAAAAAAAAAAAATCCCAATAAGTGTATATTGGTTTGTGTGAAAGTTATAGCATCTACAAACTATGGTGTATATATACTGGAGATTTTTTCACTTATTTTTAGTGACTTATACTGAGACCGTGAGTACGTCTGGCAATCTCAAACTAACTGACACTGTGTGGGAAGTGACTAAAACTGACATCACCAGTGACACTAATACAGTGATCAGTGATAATACTATGCACAGTCACTGTACTAATGACACTGGCTGGGAAGGGGTTAACATCTCATGGTAATCAAGGGGGGGGGGGCCTAAGTGTGTGCCTAACAAGTGTTAATGTATTTAATGTGTGCTGCTTTTTTCCTAAAAATCTTTGTTCCTTCTCCCTGCTTTGGAGTAGAAGTAAAACAACATTTTTCCCCTCTGTACAGAGCCCTGTGTTTGTGAACACAGGGCTCTGGGCAGTGATTGGACACAGCCGATCAGAAGGTCCTGGCCATGAATCATTGGTCAAGACCTGCCGACAAGATCCTGCTGTGTCTAATCACAGCGGAAGTCGGCGAGTGGGGGTGCGTGCACCCTGTACCCGTAAGAGGCCAGTAATGTACCTTTGCCTGTACCCTCCCATAGGGGTCCACAGAATTGAAGATGACTGCCGTGACTATAGACCATTACACAATATATTGGAGCCCAGGTATGTGCGTCTCCGTTTTCCTAAGTGTTTGTTAGTGGAGCCACGGCTGTAACATTTAAAGTGGCAGGCAGGTAGTGGAGAGGTTCACTTACTGAATAAAAATAGGTGCAGTCTTATCATTTCCCAAGCGCCTCCCACTTGGTCTGTGAAGCCTCCTAAGTCAGACTTACTATTTATATACATTCCATCATAGGACACACACACACACACACACGTCAACCCTGCTCAGCCTTTCCTGCCTTTTTTTTTTTCTTTACAAAGCTATCTTCGGGTGCTTCGCGGGATCAAGATGGAATGGAAGGCAGTCCTATTGATTATCATTGTACCAAACTTGCCCAGGAAGCCATGGTACTTGGAACTCATCAGGCTCCAGGTGGACTCCCTTTGGGCTGTAAAGATTGTCCAAATCTTTCGTCCCAAAGACAAGTTTACCACCCTGCTGTTTAGTTGTTGGCGTGGATGACTTGGCTGTTGAAGCACAGATCCTGAGGTATAGCGCCTACATGATTCACTAAGCATGTAAAAGCTAGGAAGTCAACTTTTATAATCTATCATTGCACCTGGAAAACTTATTTTCTGAGAATTATCTGCCGCAGGAGGTGCTCTGTGGGATGAATCCTGTGTTCTCTAGTCTGGTCTATTTCAACATATGACCTTGACCACCAAAGGTCTAATCTCAGCCCTAGCAGTTTCTCTTTCAGAGACTGCTTGCCTCTCACTCCTTTGTGAAGCGTGCTGCTCATATTGTTTTCTTCTGTATGCTCCCCAGTGATTTCATAGGCTCCCAACCTGGTTGTCTCTGCCAATCAAAAACCATCCTTTCAACTTATTAGGGATTGTTCTCAGTTTATCCTTGGTTGCTTTTCTCGTCACAAAAATGTTTACACTGCAAAATTTTAAGTTTGTGACATTAACCTGCAAAGAACCTTTCTTGTGCTACACAAGTTCAAGGTTGATTTGAAGTCCAGGGCCTCTTTTCTTCCCAAGATAGTTTCCTCCTTTCTCCTTACACAGGACAATGTTCTACCATCTCTCAGTCCTGCTCTTAAATCCTAAAGACATTCCTCTTCATGGCTGGATGTGTGGTGTACACTGTTCATCTTGCAGCTTCCTTTCGTCAGTCCGACTCTGTCAATCCTGAAGGTCCCCAGAAGGGGAAGCCTGCTTTTTAGTTCAACTGCTAGGTGGATTTACCTGCTTATCATTCAAGCTTATGACTTCAGGGGCAAGGTTCCCTCTTTTCCAGTCAAAGCACATCCCACTAGATCAGTTAGTGCTTCACTGGCTTTTCAGCATTAGGCATCTGTTGCTCCGTTTTGTCTTTTGTTCATGTGCTCATTAAGTTTTGCCAGGTAGATGTTCATGCCTCAGCTAATGCCAGCTTTCATAGAAAGGTTCCTCAGGTTGTTCTGCAGGCTTCTTTAAATCACCCTTGTTGAACTGTTAGTTTGTTCTGATAAGTCTGTTAGCGTTTTCGTTTGCAGTTGCCCACCCCTCAGTTGGGCTACTTTTTGACATCCCATTGGTTCCAGAATACTTCTTCCTTTGTCCTGTAATGTACTCCCAAGAAGAGTATTTTTACGACTAAGACAAAATTCTCCTTTTCTCTATTGTCTATTGAGGGACACTGCTTGATAATTAAGTAACATAGGGTTATACTGCTGCCTACATGAATAATAAACACTAGGCACATAAAAGCTGGAGGCCTGCCTCTTAAAGGCTCTAACCCCTCTCTCCTTACACATGCTCAGTTTTGATGATTAGTGAGTGAATGTGTTTTCTTCAGCTCTGTTCTGTTTTAATACAGAGGATTTCTCTCACAACAGCTTCTGGTAGATTCATGGTGGATATTGAAGATCTTGGAAGTCTCTTCAGTTAGCCATCAAGAGCAAAATTTTCCAGTTCATATACTGGTATTCTCTCTGACAGTCTGCAGACAACAGTAACATCCCTGTTCTGAAAAAGAAGATTCCCCTTTTTCAGTTCAGGCCAGTTACCTGGGGTTTTCTTGTGGAGTGTTGAACTAGAGCTGAGACAGCTCACCTGACCCCGTTTCTAAAGGTATTAGTTTGTAAACTGGTGCAGTTGGCTCTGCTGTGTGTCTCTCTACTTGGCAGTGGTCTAGACCTCCATTTTAAACTTTGCGCTGTTTTTTCCTGTAGCAAGAACTAAGGAGACATGTATGGTTTTATTCCTGCATCTGTAGGTGACTAGCCATTGTGTAAAAGAATCATAGTAGAACCTAGATAGAGGGAGGTAGTTATAACCCCCGTAAGTAATAGTATTTTTTTTTTTTTTTTTGGCTACAACTGGTGTTACCATTAAAATGTTTCCCCTCTTTTCCTGTTTTGGTGACAAACCAAAATTTGATACTTTTTCTCTTTCACTCTCTGTGATAACTGTAAATAGGCCAGTCAAAGAGGATGAATTCCTCTAATGGGGACACCGACTGCAATAAAAACCTGACAGATGTTCCAATTCCACTCTCTAAAATTAAAAATACATTTTGCCTTTAGTTATGGTTTTACCCATGGGCTTGTTTTTACTTTATGTAATTTGCTTGCTAGCCACAAGGGGGAGCTGTCCTCTTCATTTTTACACAAAGACAGTGTTTACACATTTAAATGTCTGGCCACCAGGCTCTGCTTACACTAGACAAGGGGTCTGCAACCTTTAAGACATAAAGAGCCACTTGGACCCGTTTCCGAGAGGGAAAAAAAGACTGGGAGCCGCAAAACCATTGCAACATTTAAAACAAATCCGACACTGCATATATTGCAAAAAGCAGTCTGGTCATGAAGGGGGTTTAAGGGCCCAGTAAGCAAAGGGTTAATCAGGGCCACAGTGTATCGTCATAATCACAATCATAGCCTTAGGTCAGTGGTGGGCAACCTTTTTTTTCAACTGAGCCAAATCTCGCCAAAACCACGATTGAAATTTATTTTGAGAGCCACATTTTTAAAACTGAAAATACATCCCCCATATAGTAATTCATCCCCCATATAGTAATCATCCCCCATATAGTAATTCATCCCCCATATAGTAATTCATCCCCCATATAGTAATTCATCCCCCATATTAATTCATCCTCCATATAGTAATTCATCCCCCATAGTAATTCATCCCCCCTATAGTAATTCATCCCCCCTATAGTAATTCATTCCCATATTGTGTCAATTCACTTACCTTTGCTCCGCGCGTTCCTCTCGCCGTGTTCCCGCGCCGTTCCGGTCTTCAGGGCGGACTGTGAGAGGAGAGGAGTTCGTCACGCTGCCCCGCCTACATCCTGACAGCCAATGACAGCCGCGGCTTGCCGACCACTGAGCTACGCAACCCTATTGCCTGTCACCTGGTGGGCAGTGTGCTCCGGAGCCGCAGCAAAGGTGAAAAAGAGCCGCGGGTTGCCGACACCCGCACTAGACTATTGGTGTACCTAAACTGGCTATACAAAGTTAGTTCAGTCCACGATCTGATCTGTATCTGTTTATTTCTAAGGGATTTGTTTTGCAGTGGGCACGGCCAAGGTTTGATGGTCATTTATCTGTATTTTAGAGCAGTGTTTCTCAACCTTTTTTAGTCAATACACCCTTTAAATGTCTGCACAATCTCATAAAATAAAGTGTAAAAGACTAAACATTTTACATAACAGTGATATCCACATACATAGGACATCCAACATTAGAGGCGATTTATTCTTCCAAAGCAAACACACCTTTGCACACTGACTAGTATTTCAATTTATCTACTCCCTCAGTTTCTTTTCCGTACTCCGCTAATGTGTCCCCAGTGATGACAGAGAAGGATAGGGGATCGAACAAGGATGCTGTGCAGAGTACCCAAATTAACTTTTTAGCATTTTGTTGAGACAGAGCATACTTTTGGTCTTTAATCACCACTGTTTTTATTTTTTGCTATATAAGCGAATAAATACTGCAAGTTTTGGAAAACAAAAAAAAGTTTTTCTTAGTTTGTTATAAAAATTTTGGAAATAAATAATCTT